CATTACTAAAATTATTTCATTTTTCACTTTTTTAAAAAAATGTAGCCACTCAAAAATTTAAAACTGTTCAGTGGCACACACTATATCAGACCCCACTAAAACTCTGCTTGCCCTCTGTGGGTCTCTTGAGCCCTCTTTCTAAACCTCTACTTAAGCTGATCTAGACATTTCTAATTATAATCAGTTTCCCATGGCCACACTGCTGGCCAAAGCCATTTCACTCTTCTTTTTTCTTATTGCTCTTGGCCATATCTCTGTGGACTCAAAAGATGTTAATAAGCTGAAAGGAATAATTTCAACTTAATTTCAACTGAAAGATGGAGAATATTTTACTTCCAGGATGGAGGAGGTGTTTAGAGAAGAGGAATATCTCCTACACCTCTTCCATATCCAGTCTCACCTAGTAGGGAACACAGGTAATGGTGCATCTGGCTGAGAACCATTTCCAGGGTCCTGTATGATCTCTCAGGGACTCATCTCTGTGACAAAGGAAGACTTACTCAATAACTCCTGTTCCTAAAAAACAGCCTACGAGCTGGTGTACTGCTGCTCCGCACATTAACCATATTTACCATCTAAGAGACAGAAAGCAACCTGTCTCGTTTGATGAGGAAGCCATAAAGTTTTAGTGAATGGGGAGTAAATCAAGGCTTCTATTTGCCTTGTAAAAATGCACTGCCTCATGCTGCATCTCACCTTTCACTAGCATGAGTGTATTTTTATTCCTCTGCATAAATAAAACATGATTTGAAGCCACCCTCTTGACTTGCTCCCAGTGCCAGGTTCGACAACCAAAAAATTAAAGTTGGCATTGTGTTTCTGATGAGGTCTGCACATTAGAAAGAAACACCTAAAATAGTTGCAAGATGAAAAAAGTCTTTAAGCTGAGCAGGGACAAAAAAAGGGAGGCTATTTCCTCCTCAGTCCCTGCAATAGGACATGCAAAGTGTCTCCTGTCCTGGGCCCAAAGGCAACAGAACAGACAGCTTTGACCTTTGTTTCCCATGTGTTAGAGCCAATTGATCTTTGAGGATAAGAATAGATACCTAGCCAAACAGTCAAATTCAGTCAAACAATCGATTTTTATAATTGATTCACAAGATTAGTGGCAAGTGCTAAATGTGCTGCAGTTACATGAATATGAATATTTGAAGACATAACATTTTGTTGGTTTATTTCAGGGAATCTTCTTCTTTTGACCCAGAGTATTTTAGGTAAAAATTGCTGGTTTGTTGATTATTAGAAACTCTCTTTTTCTTGAACTTTAATTTTAGAGCTGATATAAGAGAATATCAAGAATCCTATCTTGAGGAGACTTAGATGGTCGTGTGCTGGGAAGGAAGGAGGGTAGATTTCTAGCTGGCCAGTCCCACAGGGATGGAGTGTGGGGCCTGCAAGCAGAGAATAAATAAGAGAACTGTGGAAAGTTGCCAAATTTAAGCTGCAGAAACCTATTCCAAGTAGATTATCTTCTCCTATAGCCCCTGAGTCAAATACTGGGAGCTGAGCTGCTGCTTATGGATGTCTGGCAAATCGTGAAAGAATTAGAGAAGGGAAGCTGTTCAGGTGAATGTCAGACTGCAGAGCTCTCTGCTGATAAGATTTTAGTGCCTCTGGTGGACCTTTACCTGGACAGCTTAGGTTTACCTGGAATGTGTTTGACAGAAAACGTCTATTTAGTTTCTCTGATTCTTTCCTTTTTTCCTTTTACCTAAAGGGTAACATTTCCCTTAGGTCATGTTTATATATTTGTAAAAGCAAATGTTCTGCTAAAGGAATTGTCTTCATATCAGAATATTTGTGCAACTTCAATGTTGAGAAAGCATGCATTAAATAACATATTCTAGAGTGGGCCGGTAGTGGCCCTGAAAGTAAGACACTGATACACACACAAAAGAGATAGAAACCATAGAACCTTCTCTGGACTATGTAAAAAAGCCTGGAAATTGGGAAAGCCTATGTGAGTTGTGGATTCTAGACCTAGGGAGGTTTTTACCCTCTGTTGTCCCAAGTAGCTTTCTTTCCAAGCCAAATGAGAGTACAATTTATGGAAATTGGTGGGTACCTGCAAGATGAGGGACTAGCTCCTCATTCTTTATCTGTCTGGGTTCATGTGGGAAATCATGGGTCTGTTCTGATTCTCTACCTTTGGAGGAGAGCAAGGTCTGGTGAGAAAGGTCTCTGCAGCTGATATATATCTTGGGAGTTAGGGGGCATTTGACAACAAGACTGTGTCTCCCTACTGCCTGGGAGCCCTGAAGGTGCGATATTGTCTGGACTAATGGGTTAATGTCATGTTCCTTATGGCAACATGAGGAGAAAGGGCAGCCATGGGGCAGCCTGTACATTGCATTTGACCCAGTAAAGATGAGCGAGTTTTCTGAGGGTCAAATGTTTGTTGCAGAAAGTACTGTGGGACTGGGATAAGGAACTTTGAACTTGTTTATCACCTTGTGAGGGAACTAAAAGGGGCATCCAAATAACCCACTCCTGCAGCCCACGCCGAGAGCCAGCACAGACACATCTCTCCTTCTTGGAGGCATTGTTGGACAGCCTATAAGGAACCAAAACAAAGGGTATGCTTGAGCAAGTACTTCTTGCCACATGTCCTCTACTCCCCTTTTCTCCTGCTCAGTTAGAGTCAGAAAAGGAAGAGAGGAAGTGATGAAAAGGAAGACAGGAAATGAGGAAAAACACACCATCCTTTTCACCACTTGTGGTCTTGACCTAAACTTTGGACCTGAGCAAAGAGCAGGTTGGATGTTTCAAATTGCGTGAGTCAAGATTTTTTTTAAAATTAATTAATTAATTAATTATATTTTTTTAAATATCTTTTTTTTAAGATTAATTTATTTATTTATACGAGCACTGGGTACAGTCAGAAGCACGGGAGGGTGAGAGAATTCACCAGAGCCAGAGTGGGGAGCACAGCAGGCAGAAGGACCGAAGTACACTACTGAGGGGAGCAGAGGGCGGCAGGAGAGGTCTGTGTGCCATGTGGGACCCTCCTCCGGTGGCTGGGGAGCAGCCGGGGATCCAACAGCGCTGCAGAGGCTGCGGGCAGCTTCCCAACCCAGCGCTCAACCGCTGCACCACCAGGGAGGCCCATGAGTCAAGATTTTATTTACTCTGGACTGTTGTAAGTAAGAGGGTTGTCAATTCAAAACAAGACTTGTTCTTTTATAACTAAAAGAACCTGGAATGTTGTTGGATTTGCTCAAACTAAACTGTCATCAAGGGGTGATTTGACAAAGCAAGGAGAAGGAAAATGTTGGGGGGAGGAATAAAACTGATTCATGCTTGAATTCCATTGAGACTTTTCAGAATATTCAGTAAACCAGTTGTACCTATCAAGATAGTCCTTTTTGACATTTTTATGTCACAACACAATATAAATTAGTAATTCCATTTGTTAGGCAAACTGAAGCAAACAGATATGCCTACTTGTGTCTAGAGGTCATTAGAGGTAACTAACTGGTTGAGAGGTTTCAGTTCATGCCCACCACAGGGCTCTGCACCAAAGGCCTATGAATTGGGATACACTATTTTACACTTTATAAGCTTAGAGGGGCCAGGGAGAATTCCTCATCTTCCTTTATGGGAGAAGGAATAATTTCCAGTTCCATATATAGTTTCCTCTAGATGGCATGGGTTGTGGGAATTCCCAGGTTTATATCGTCACCTGCACATATTAACATAGATGCAGCAAAGAATATGGAACAAATACTTTCTTGGGAGAAAAGTTCCCACATTGTCAATGACTAGCTATTTACCTTGGGCAGGATCCTTAATATATCTAGGCATTTGTTTTCTTAACTGTCAAAAGAGGGACCTGGGGACCAAGCGTTCAATAAGTGGCAGCCATCATTACCCCCGGCATTGCCACTCTCCAAGAAGCAGTTGTACGGGGAAGAAGCAATAAACGTTTAGTACAATTAGCTCATGAAATTTGGAATGGATGCTTAATTCTCATGGAACAAGAAGGCCATATGAAGCTCCCCTGAAGTGTAAAGTGTGACATTTTGTACCCTAAGACTACACAACTCTCCCATGTCCTCAGGGCCGTTCTCCAGGGCAGATAATGTATGGTCATGTGCATGGCTTGTGGCCTCTGGAACTTTCCCTTCCAGATTCTGACCACACGTTGGGTAACTTCTTGATGAGGTTGAGTTCTTGTGACTCCCTGTCTTAATCCTCAGCATTTTCCTCTGGTTTCTACTGCTTCCAAATGTGGCAATATGTCTAGCAGTGCTCACCTTCACCTGATGCCTCAAATATTAAAAATGGATTTGGGATTTCCATGGCATATCACTATCACTTTTGGTCAAATGTCAAATTTTAGCTGCTATTTGCCTGAAGGTCTAGAATTTATTATGTGAAAGGAGAGTAGTCTGTGTGTCTGCTAGGCTTGGGATCACTTTACAGGCACTCCCTTTTCTCAGGTAAGGAACTCAGCATCTGGAATCTGAATGAAATAAATTCTTTCTTGTAAACTGACATCTTTCATCAGTGGATAAATATCAAGTAACTTATTCATTGCCTTTTTGCCATTTTTTTTCCTATTATCCATTTTGGTTTGGAATCTTTGGGAGGTGATTGTAAGAAGAGGAATGAGGGAATAGACATAGTGAGGCAGGGAGAGTCAATATAGGGGTGCACTATAGAGCTTTCTGCTGGAAACAATGGAAGCTCTTTTACCCCCAGATTCTATGAGAAACATGTAACAACACTCTCTGAATCATCTATTGGAAAGATGAAAGATTGGAGCCTTTATCATTAGTTTCTTTCCTCCCTATTTGGTGTTTTTCCCCAGGAGCTTCCTATCACCTGTGGAGGAAAGGCCCTGCATGGGGCAAGAAGGCCACCACCTCCAAGACAGCAGGGGAGCCTTCTTCACTCATCAAATTGGCCAGAACTTTGATCTTGCATTTTGTATCCTCCCAATCTGAGAAATCAATTTTTATTGTTGAAGTGACCCAGCCTATGGTATTTTATTACAGCCATGGCAGGCCTGTCTTTTGGGAGCTGGAACCACAGAGGAGAAGCAGGCTGTACGAGAGAAAAAGGAGAGAGACACCCTGTACCTTCCCTCCTGTTCTCCAGCCTTCCAGCAGTGTCTCCCACTGGAAGAATGGGTAAGTGGAAGTTATCAGGTTTTTTCCACCCTCCCGCCATTATCATCAGTGATCGACACCTGTGATCTTGTATGTGTGCTTGATGCCGGCTCCTGGACTAGAGTGTGGGTATGCGTGAGTGCATGCACCTGAGCCGAGAGACTGAGCATATTAGGAGGAGCACAGGGGACTGAGGTGATGGTGCATGGGTGCATTGGTGAAGGAGACTCTATGGGGACTACACTTGAGGGGGTGGGGGGAAGCAAATATTGTTTAAAAATGAGTAATGATGTAAAAATTTAAAAAATTAATTAAAATAAATAAATAAGAAAAAACCATAAGGGGAGGGGCAGCAGAGGACACATGTGGGAGAGGCCAGTTGTAGGGTAAAAGTATCAGGCTTTTCTGCCCTCCCGCCATCAGGATAGATGAGGGAACCCTGTAGTCCTGAATGCATGCCTGATGGTGGGCACCTGGAGTGGGTACACCTGGGCTGAGAGACTGAGTTTATAAGGGTGGCATCACGGGGACGCCAGCAGAAGCCAAGAACGAGCAGAAGCTGAGAGAAGAAGAAGAGAAGCAGAGAGGACGCCAGAGAGCCCAGATAGAGTGAGGATTTGCTGGGGACTGGGAGGCCTGCCAGCCTGCCAGCCCCCCAACACCCCTGCCTGCCATATGCCTGGTAAATCTAAATAAAAGCCACTGAGGACTCTGACTCCTCCTTTACCCGGTCTGCTAGATCAGAAAACCTGCTCAGCGTCCAGTCCTGCCCCTACACCCATCCAGCAGAGTAAGGTAGAGACCAACGAAGAGCCCATGAGACACGCCAGAGAGCCCAGAAAGAGTGAAGATTCGCCTGCGGCTGAGAAGCCTGCCAGCCACCTGCGCCCCCAGCCTCCCTGCCTGCCCCGGACCTGGTTGCCTCACTACAAATGGTGCAGAAAGATTATTAAAAGCCTGAAGAAGCCACTGAGGGCTCCAGGACTCCACTTTTTCCTGTTTGCTCGGATCCATTGAAAACCTGCTCTGCGCCTTGCTGGCACTACACAGAACAATGTGAATCCAGCTGGTGTGGAGATCTGGGAAAGCTGAAGGACCAAGTGCTGTGTGAGTCTGAGCAGAATAGGATAGGGAAAGATCTGAGGACACATAGATCCAGGGATGCAGAGGATGCATTTTTTGGCTGGCACCGTATCTGTGAAAATTCTGCTGTCCTGCTTAGGGCATGCTCTTTCCAGGTAGGTTGCGTGCATATCATATAGCTGCTCACATGTCTGACGCTTATAGGCACTGGAGTGGGAAACCCCTGCTTTAACTGACTCATCTAGATTATATAGGCAATAGGGTACAGGAGAAGAAGGTTAAGAGTAGAGACAGAAGGGAAAACAGGGCCTCCCTGGTGGTGCAAGGGGTTAAGTCTCAGTACTATGAAGCTATCTGCAGCCACTGCAGCTTGAGTTCGATACCCAGCCACGGAGCTACTCACATGGTGCAGCAGACCTCTTCTGTGACCCCAGATTCTCCCCTCAGAAGTATGTTTCAGTCAGTCTGCCTGTTCTGTTCCCCACTTTGTCTCTGGTGAATCTGCTCACCTCGCCCCCGCCCATCCCGCCACACCTTTGGCCTACACCCAGCTCTTGTATGCATAAATAAATAAAATAAATCTTTTTTAAAAAAGAGGGAAACATACAGGGGCTGTGGCAGTATGCCACTGAAGCCAACTTTACATATTTTTGTTTGGTTATAATTTCTAAAAGAGAAATTTAAAATTTATAAAAGAGAAATTTCTAATTTCTAAAAGAGTTAGCCCTTTACCCTTGATATTCTGTTTTACAATTGAAAGACTGAACAGGTATTGCCAGTGTGTTTGCGTGTATTTGTGTTGTGTGAAATTTGTTTCATATCCCTCTGGAGTTTACTAAATGAGGTGGTAATGATGTTCACGTGGACTTAACTCGTGCTTTGTTTTTTACAGCTATTTAGAGGGCAGGCAGGCACATAAGCACCCTTGGCCTTGCTCATTGCTGACGCTGGTGATCAGGAGTACTGAGGCCCTGCCCGAGCAAGTGTATGCACATGCCCACTGCAGGGGAACCAGCAGACTTTCAACATCACGGGGAGGATGAGGCTGTTTGCGACTTCACCAAGGCCCAAGGAGGTGGCAAGGTTAGTCAATATAGCAAGGCTGGGCTGGTAGACACTGCAGACTTTGGAGGTTTCTTCACTGCCTTTCTGTAGTGCAGCCTGTGGCTGGGCCCTATGCATGGGGTTAGTGCAGGGTTTTGTTGGCTTGGAGTGGAAGGGACGTGGTACCAAGTAGTGACCTGTAAGTTAGGCCTGCCCACACTGTGGAGATCTGGTTCTTACTTCCGAAGCTTGTCCTGTTCTAACTTTTCCAATGCAGAGATAAAGAGGCATTTCTCCCACCATCAGGGTTTCACTCCTAACCTGTCTCACCAGCTGGTCTGGTTCCTGAGCTCCATTTTCTTCTTTTTTTTAAAGATTTATTTTTTTTATTTATACAATAGCTGGGGTACAGGCCAGAGGTGCGGGAGGGTGAGAGGATTCATCAGAGACAGAGTGGGGAGTGGAACAGGCAGACGGACTGAAAGCACTGCTGAGAGGAGCAGCGGGCACGACAGGAGAGGTCTGCTGCACCATGTGGGAATCTCCCGTGCTGCAGAGGCTGCGGACAGCTTCACGGCACTGTGCTCAACCTGTTGCGCCACCAGGGAGGCCCTAAGCAACATTCTCAAGCCCCATCTTAGTCTCCCATGCTCTTTCAGTTTTTCTCAGTTGTCTCTATTACTTTGTGATAGTGTTGCGCTTTGGGGTAGTCTGGTTTGACTTGAGGAGAGCAGGCTGTGGGGACAATTCCAACCAGCATTGATTGAAGAGGTGCCTTCATGGTGGAAGTGGATCAAAAAGGCAAGTGAGGGTCCTTTCAAACCATCTAAAGGGGTGAGGCCTGAGTTGATTAAGGCAGTGGGGAGCTCAGTCCCAGTATTACTAGATTAGAATTTTTTTTTTTTAATCAAGAAAACTTAGAGACTTCTGTTTAAGTTTTTAAATTTGGGAAATTAGTGTTAAACAATTTAAAATGGTGTTTGGGCTAAAAAATTTAAAACAATATTTGGCCCATAAAATTCACATCTATGGACAGAATATGGCCAAGGAGCCACTGGCTTGCTGTCTTTGACTCATTGCCTGTGACAGCCACGGGCCTGTAGCAGCACCAGGGTGACTGAGACAACATCCCTCTCCTGAAGGGACTTCAGTGGAGCACTGAAACCTCAACTCTTGTCAGAGGCAGAATAATCCTAAAATGCGTGGTAGAGACAGATTCCCAAAATGCTGTGGGGGGTCCCAATGGAAGAGATTTTTATGAAAATATTTTTCTTTATAAGAATACTTCTATAACATAAAATAGTAATGCTTCCTTAAATAATTGAACCTCAAAATAGTGGCAAGCCTATTAATTCTGCTATTTGCAGGGCCCATGGTATGAGACTGACTTAAAGGTGAGACCACTCTAATAATGAGGCCTTTCTGTACTTCACTAAATAAATCCCCTTGAGGGAAGGATTTATTTTTCACTGATTTCCACTCTGGAGTGTTACAGTGAAATTCCTGTGTAAACAGCAAAATAGGATTTTAAAAGATCGCGTTTTCTAGGCAGGATGACTAATGAGAGAGGTAATCCCTTAAGATGCGTCCACATGCTCAGCAACCCAACTCTCTCAGAGCTCCCAAATGTGGAGCTTGGCGCAGGTAGTGGCAAAGCCAGATCTGGGGTGGGGATTGGCTGAGGGCAGACCCAGCTGGGCCAGATTGGAGGGGAGAGGCCAGAAGTCAGCAGGGTGCATGAGTCAAGATCTGATAATTACCTGATTATCCTTGGAGCCCCAGGCATTGGGGGTCTCACCTATCCAAGGCTCTTCATGTGTTATATTACAATTATCTGCACACTTACCCTGCAGTAGGCTATAAGCATCTGGGGCAGGGCCAGTATCTTTAGATTCTAGTGCCCTGGGGACCTCTGGTAGGAGGACACCATATTGAAAGTTAATCAAATGATTGTATAAATGATAAATTGAATAAAAGACTGACAGGTGTATGGCACTGGGGAGATTTGGCAGAGGGTTGGTGATGCTGGCTGTCCGGACAGTGAAGGCCCATGACTGGCAGCCTCGAGCTGACAATGTATGGAGACCTAGACATGCTGATAGGAGGTGAAGAGAAGGGCAGGCCCTTGTTTTGGGGCTGAGGGTGACAGGACTTGGGCAGGAGGAAACAATAGTAATATAGTTTGTACAAAGAGGGAACAAAACACAGCTGAAGGCAGCTGAGAGAAGGGGAAAAAATAGATGCTGTGGTATCAAAGGAGCTCAGGTTCTGATCTCAGTTCTAATTTTTCCTAGTTGGGCAAATGGACAATAGACTTGACCTCTCTGTGCCTCAGTGTCTACATCACTTAAATGGAGGATAATTGTTAGGAAGATCAAATGAAATGTTGTTTGTGAGGCAATTTGCACAGCATCTGGCAGAGAATTATTAGAATATGTAGGACAACCAAGCACAGCGTGCACTGGTTCACTGTTGTTTTGGGCAAAACAGCTAAAGGACCTTGGAGCCCTCAATAGATTTGACAGGACTTTAATGCTGAAACAGGGGACCAGGTACAGGCAGACCAGCAGGCAGGGAAGCAGGGAGGTTGGGAGGCAGGCGGTAGCCACACCTCCCAGGGGCCCCACCATCTCCCTGCTCTCTCCCTGGCATCTCTCAATATCCGATCTCGTAATGCTCTCTCCTGGGTCTCAGTACTTAGAGGTTCACGCGCCCTTCTCGCTGGTTTCTCAGCCCAGGTGTCCGTGTTTCTTGGTGTGTGGGCCCTGTGCTCACTCTCCCAAGTTCTTTTTGCAATACTAGGATATCACGTGTGGGCAATGAAACCTGGGAGGGAAACTAGGCTGCAGGTAGCTGCTATACAGGATGAGAGAGAGAGAGAGAGAGAAAATAAAACCTGACTTTCTCCATTTTCCTTACAGTATGGATAGGACTTAATCAATAATAGGGTACTAGATGGTGACTTTTGGGCAGCAGCTGGAGAGTTAACTGCAAGCACTTTGTAAACCATATATTTCCTCACCCTCAGCCCAATGAGGGCACTTCAGAATCTGTAGGAAGGGAATAAATGTTACATTTCAAAAGTTTCATAGAGCATTTTGATAAATCCATCACCAGGTTTTCTTCCTCAGCCTACTTGAGTTTTATTTCTTTAAATCCCTGCTCTCTTCTGCTCTGTTGGCGTCCCTGTGAAGCCGCCCTTATAAGCCCAGTCTCAGCGCAGTTGTAGCCAGTCTCTCGGCCCAGGTGTATCCACTTATGTATGCCTACACCCTACTCCAGGTGCCCGCCATCAGGTATGCATTCAGAACCACAGGGTTCCATCATCAATCCTGATGGCGGGAGGGCAGAAAAGCCTGACACTTTATTTACCCTACACAGGATCTTGGTGCAGGCAGGGCTGATATATCCGGGAAACAGCACACTCAGTGCCTGGGGCTCACACTACCTTAAGGGACCCACAGAAATATTTTAATTTTGTTTAATAGGAGAAAAACACACATTTTCATGTTGTAAAACATTTTAATGTATAATCATCTTTATACTAATATAGTCATAAAGTGTACCTTTAAATATGAAGGAAGTAGCCAGAGAGGATGGAGTGACTAAGAACCACAAAAGTCACCCATGAAATGTGGATGTGAGGACGGGGAATCCAGCAAGTCATTTACCCTAGGAGTAAATCTAAGAGATATGGGAAGTTCCTGAAAAATTTATTAAATGCAGATTCCTGGGCTCCATTCCAGAAAGTCAGATGTAGGCTCTGGTGGGTCCTAGGATCAGACTTTTAACAGAGACCCAGCTTATTCTGAAGCAGACTGAAGGAGACTGAAAAATTCAGACCCTGCTCCCAGCGGCGCTGGGAGCCTGCTATGCAAACTGGCCAGGTCATCAAAGCCCGGGTGAACCCAGCAAATGTGAGATCAATTGAGTTAACAAGTCAATCTGATTCTGTGGCCCAAATAACTGCTAGATTGATCAAAATTGTCTCTTGCCATCTATGTGTTAGGACCTCACTTAAATATCTTATGCCAGTAAAAAGATGTGTTAGAAGCAGTTTTTCTTTAATGTGTTATGAGATGTTACTTTGCATTTAAAACCCAGCTTGAAAGGATTATTTTACAAAATCATTACATGGAATTTCTGCATTAAATGCAGGCATTACACAGGCAGCTGATTTTACTCCACTCGCCACGAATAAGCAGGTTTCTTTAATTAAATATATGATTTTCTTTAATTACAGCAGTTAGTTTGAAAGGTGATAACTAAATAAAATTTTATCCTGCAAAATTTATAGAATGAAAGCGACATTAAAATAACATTACTGTTGTAGGACAGACTCAGTGAAGGAGCAAATAGGTAGAAAATTGACAAATCCCTCACCTTAATAGCTTGCAGCCACACACTTTCGGTAGAGGTACGATCCTTATCTGCATTTCCTTGCATTGGTGACTCTTTCCAATAAAATTCAATAGTCTTTTAATACTCTTGTTTTTGTCTCTCCTATTATTGCTTTATGAGTGATATTCCCTTTCGCTCTCATGATTTTGCAGAAGTTTATCACTGGGATTTGAGGGTGACCCATTTGTGAAGGCAATTTCCATGAGTTCATTCCGAAATGAAAATCTAGATCACCTAAGATTTCTCACTTTAACCATGCTAAAATGTCTGTTTTCATAGAAAAAAGTTTGTAATGCTCCCTTTATCACCCTAAAAAAAATTTCATAGGTAATACCTACTCATATTCTATAAACTCAATATAATGCTTTACCTCTAATAAAAAAAATAGAAAAGGTAAGTAATTTATAATTCATTAACATTTAATATGTAAATAAATGCTAGGGCAACAGTTATTAAAAGACAACAAAGTTATCAAGTGCTCACATACCTTCATGAAGAATGACACTGAATGAAAATTTCTAGTGGTGTGTTCTCTTGGCAACTAACTCAAATACCCAAATAACATAACTTGAATTCATAAGATTAAAAAATAGATTTAATTTTTTGAAGAGAATTTGTAGGTTCACAGCAAAATTGAG